CTGCTGACAGCTCTACTCTCTCGTCTCTCCTTTACTCCATCTCTTCTTTCAAACCACAGTGTGCTGATGCCATAAAATTAAATTTTGCTGTCCCAACAGTAAGTACATTCTTCATGTCAAGAGGAGTGAAATTCCAAGTTTATCTACACTGCTGTAAAGCTTAAAGTCATCTCCATTCAGCATAATTTAAAAAGCAGGCAACCTTTCAGTACGTCCTTATATACCCACAAGCCAAAACACCCTTACAACTTACCATCAAACAGTGGTTTAAAGGAGGACCTTGGCTTTAATATTTTAGACCAAATGTAACCCTCAAATAAATGTGAAAGGCAACTATTTATGTTTAAACAAAGCCCCTCTAAGTAAAGAGATGGAACATCTCCTCCAGAAAGATGACTAAAATCTCTAGCAGTTTCTGTGTTTCTAAAACTACATTAGAGTGAAGTTTTTTAAGCATGCAGTGTGAACGCACACACTGGTACAACACTGGTTAACCTGGTGAAAACAACTGCACAAAGCCACAACAAGGAACAAACCACCATCACTGCATTAACTTGTTTTATAATCAATGAGTTACTTTCACAGGAAATACGCAGAGCAATGCAACACATGTTGTAAATTGATTTTAGAAGTCCATTGCAAACAAGGCTTAACTACTCCATGGAAAATTTTGCAGTTACATTTTGACTCAGCCAGACAAGGACAAACTGTGATTTTCATGTTCCCTTAGTATCTAATTACACAACAGAAAAACCTCTATCAATGCCAAATTAATCTCTGTTGTACACGAAATACTATATCTATATGAGTACAACATCATAAACAGAAGACTGACACAGACAAAAAGGTAGGAGGCAGCAGTTTGTGGACAGTGGAGTATTACTGCTCTTTAATTCTGAAAATATACTAAAAATGACCAAAAGCAGCAGTGAAGCCTGTTTCACGGCTTTTACAGAAATGCTCAGGGACTTGGGGGTTCTGTGGATGAAAAGCTGGATATGAGCTGGCAATGTGCGCTTGCAGCCCAGAAAGGCAATCATATCCTGGGCTGCAGCAAAACAAGAGTGGTCAGCAGCTCAATTCTCCCCCTCTACTCTGCCCTCACGAGACTCCACTTTGAGTACTGTGTTCAGCACTGGGGTCGTCAGCACAAGAAAGACATGGACCTGTTGAAGTGCAGAGGAGAGACATGAAGATGATCAGAGGGCTAGAACACCTTCTCCTATGAATAAAGGCTGACAGAGCTGAGGTTGTTAAACCTGGAGAAGGCATCAAGGAGATTTCACTGCAACCTTCCAGTACCTGAAGGGGGCTTATAAAAAGAGGGAGACTGACTTTTTACAGTAGTGATAGGACAAGTTTTAAACTGAGGGAAGGTAGGCTTTGTCCCTAAAGAATGGAAAATATTAAGTTAATAAGTATGCATTGGAGCTGTAATATTCAAAACAGTAATATTGAGGTTAAGTAACAAAGGAGAAAAGTAGCACTTGATCAATATAATTTTGAAGAGTTTCCAAAAAAAGTCTGGCAAGAAAGTGAAGGAGAGAAATAGTTGTGCTCTTTCTAAGAGACTAACAAAAAAGCTCAAACTATGTTTTCATACATGCTGTAAAGTGACATTCTTGGGAAGGAATTGAGAAAAATATTACACAATAAATAGGAACAGAAATCTAATAATGCACAATACCTACACAATGGGGAAGGGTAGTTGGCCCAAAGAAAGGCAAGCTGAACATATGTTTTTTCTGTTACTGTGGGATATTCTAAGTACTGACAAAGATTAAGTGTTCTAAATTTTTCTTAGAGAGCTAACAGAATTGGACAAGATAAGCCTTAGCTCCTGTGGCTTCCTAAGGGTAATACATATAGCTTTAGAAAATCTTAATGGAAGATCTGCCTTTTAATGCACTTATAGGATTTTTTAAAGGGCTGTGAGCTCAACAATTCTTGTTGAGTGCTTGGACACGTGTGCTTAACATGCTAGGACTGACTGCACTTACAGTGAGAAGCCACTGAGTAACTGAAGCAGGATGCAGGGGGTCACTATTGCACTTTCTCCATTGTGTACTTTGGCCTTGGTTTGATCCAAACCACTCTGTGTTCCAGGGAAGTGCAGAAGGATGACCCCAGGGGAAACTGTTGATACTTACTACAGAGTGGTTTCTCTAGTCAGACATAAGTGAAAATGTGGCAGACGCAGTTACACTTTAGTGACTTAAATTGCTCTTGGAAAGACACACATTTAATTTCATGGTTCAAAGTTATTGGTGGTATAACCAAACAGGAGCAATGTGATTATACCAGGAATTACCTTAGCACAATATGAATACAACACAATCTCAAAAAAAGTCCTTTTTTTTGCAACAGTGCTCATTAAATGCACTTTATTTATCTTTAAATTGGAAGGGTAGAGGAGAATCCCCTGACAGCTTAATTTATCTATCACTTTGATTGATAGGCTTATATCTTGTGATACTTATATATAGTATAATAATCTTCAAAAGAGTTGTTCTTATTTTACATATTTATCTAATTACAACCCCTAGCTATGTGTCCCTCTTCTTGTAAGTAATTACTTGACAAAGGAATATATCACCTAGTCCTGGGTTAATGTGGTGGAAGTGTAATGGACTCTCTAAAATATGAACTGTACAGTGTACTAAAGAAAAACATAATATGTTCAGAATTATGGCAAATGAAAGCATAACTGCATTTTTAAATGCATTTCCTAGATTAGTGCTATTAATTTATAAAAGACAAAATACTAGTGCAATTTTATCAATACTGATGCAAGTTTGTAGGTGTTTAGAATCAAGGTGTCCTTACCCGCAAGAAATAAGATGGAATGCTATCTTTATGCAGTTACCTAGACAGACAGCTGAAATTCGATGACAGAATTTGAAATGCAATTCACAATCATATCGACAACCGTGAATTGAGCTTTAAAAACAAAAATAATAAAAAACATGTCTGTCAGTAGATCATATGCAACTCCACTATCTGGGAAATTCCAATGAACCATGTCCAGATGTTGTTCTGTCTACCTAGGAATATTAATAATAAAATTTTGTACTGAGAAAAATTAGCAAGTTAGAATATTACAAAATGGTATGTATGAAGTAAGAGTGGAATACAATCCTCTGAACTATTCTTATTTAGTCCTCTTAATCCAGATTTTAGAAAAGGAAATGAAAGATAAGCTTTGTAACTTTCCCTGAAAAATAAGATTTTCCCAATGCAGTGATACCATAAGATACCATTTCTCTTCCTTCAGAGACAGAAAAGAATATTTTGTAATAACACTCAGCAACACCTTTGAAAAATTGAGCTGTTAGCTCATCTATAGCGAGTTGTTTACAAAAGGCATATTCACAAGTCTGACCATAATGACAGCAAAAAAGTAAATGCAATAATCTTGTCCACCAAATTATTTTGCTACGAAGTTCCTGCTTATTCTATCTAGAAGATACAAATAACTGGAACTGATTAACAACTTCAAATGAAAAAGACTGTTTTCTCATTACTGTTTAACTGGAAAAAAAAAACTCTAAAAATTTTCTTTGCACTCTGTAAAGTTCTCACATGATCAAGCACCAGGGCTGTAAGTTGCACTTCATCTTCCTCAAAAGTCATTATTAATATTTCCACAAGCTATAGCCATATTCTGTACAAACCTTACACCTCTCTGAATTGGAACAAGAGCTTCTATTAGGAGCTAAATCTCTCCCTTATATTCACTGAGCCAGGAAGAAAAAGGGAAAAATAAGCAGCCTCACAGGCAAAAAGCTCAGTTATTTTGTTCGTAACTACTGATTTAAATAACAGACTATCTTCCCTTTTAAAGAACTAGAAAAGAATCCATAAACCCTGATGCTCACTTTTCACTGCTGTCTCAGAAACATCTCCATAACCTCCTAGCATGTGATTAGCCACATAGTCCTTCAAACGAATGCCTTACAGGGGCAAAATGAACCAAGGTACTACACACTGCTCAAGTTCTGTACTGCAGATTTTAGAGACCGAAATTGAAAACTGCTGACTCAGAGATAAATTAACTAAATAACCGTGCAATGCATGTTGCCAAAACT